GAAAGTCATAGACAACTAATAATGTGGCTCACTAATTTTTATTTCCTTAAGTTACAGTGGCAAAATAATTAGTTTCAAAACTATCATTGGTTACTAATTCATTGCTTTGCAAAAAACAGTTGAGAAAAATTTCATTTCAGTAGTTGTACCTTTATTAAGATTTACTCTGCTCTATCATTATATCTAATCACATAGGGGAGTACATGTGTATAAAATATATAATAAAATACACCTCAGTCTAGTTTTGAAAAATGCTATAGAAGAAATTAAGGAATAATATTACTTGTATTACTTCATAGTTAATGATACCTTACAGGCATTCAGTTTAAAAGGAAACAAAAGAATAAAGTTTGATGGGTACAGACAGTTACCTTGGTTGGTGTTCTTACTTTCATAGAGTAGTAAAATGAAATGGAGTTTTATTCTGTTGTGTTTGTTTTGTGTGGCATTATACATTTTAACATAAAATTTTATCAAGCTTACTTTAGTAGTTTATTTTATTTTTCTCCTGTAGTTTTCCGATATTATTTAAATAATCCTTACCAGCCTGATGTAATGGAACAGTGAGGAATCTGCATCTATATAGGATATCTATTTGAATAATATCTTGAATAACTAACTAGAAGAGGTCTGATCAAAATCATTTACCTGTGAGTGAATATAACTCACTATAATAAACCATGTAGCTGATTTCTTTTGCTCTTTTAGGCCTCCATATTTCCCTCTCTGTGCATAAATAAAGTCCCTATTTTTTTGTTAACCAAGAGGCAACAAAATTTGTGTTCAGATTGTGATATGCATTTCCTATGTCAAGTAGAAAAGTGTGCATGTCTATAAATTATGTGTATATAATTATCAACACATCTAGGCAAATTTTAGGTATTGTGAGCTTAATGGAAACCATTATTTGTAGGAAAAGAATCAAGCTGTTAAAATGGAATGAATTTAAAGCCTCCTTTACTTTTTTGATTAAAATAATGACAAATTTAGCAAACAGAACAGAAGCAGACTCAGAGATATAGAGAACAAAGTGCAGGTTGCCAGATGGGAAGGATGTCGGGGGAGCTGGTGAGAATGGTGAAGGGATCCAGAAGTTACAGAACAGTCACAGGAATGTAAATACAGCATAGGAATATAGTCAGTAATATTACAAGAACTGTATGTGGTGCCAGGTGGTTGCTAGACTTATTGGGGCATCATTTCATAACTTATATAGTTGACCATTATGCTGTACACCTGAAACTTACATAAATAATATTGAATGTCAACTGTAATTGAAAAAGAAAAAATAATAGAAAAGTGTATGGCAGAAGTCTGTTTAAGGTTTCTACCTCTCTGCCTAATTTTGGTGTTCCTATTCTTTTCTTGTACACTTTCTTGTGGAAGTAAAACTCTCTGAATATTTGTTTAAAAATAAAAGTAAACTTATTAAAATAACGTATTCTATATATTCAGTATATTTTTATTTGTATTGTATTTTACACATAATGTTTGTTAGTATTTTAGGTAGATGGTTTATTGAATCAGCCCAGTGATTTTAAAGTTTTACGGGTGTTTTTGACCTTCCTTGAAAAAACCCAACATATACAGGGACATATGCATGTTACTACAGTGTATTTGATATTTGCGGGGCTGTGGAGTTGTCAGGACCGTGTTGCCATCACTGTCCATATGTTTGGATTTGGGAAACACATTTTTAGGGAAGCTCGTTTTAAGTTTAAATTGTATTAAACATTATACAGTTTTTTATTTGACCTATTCTTGTATAAATTAGTAACATTTATTAAAATACTAAATTAATTTAAGTTGATCTGCATTCCCTCATTTATTTGGTGTATAATAATGTACTCACTATCTTTGTATTTGAAGTAGTATCTTGATTTTCAAGATCTTGGATGTATGTTTAGAAGATATTTATATACATGATTAAAGGACAGTGCAAGCTAGCATAAACATAAGAGTACTCCCAAAGTCTTGTCAGATGTTTGCACTGTACACAGAGAGAGAAAACCGTTTTATTAGGCAGATATGTTTGGCCACTTATTGAAAGATTGGGGATTTATTCAAGCTGTGATGAACACGTTGACAGTGGAGAAGAGTGGCCACTGAGATACATGTTAAAAGCCCTTAAGCTCTGTGTTCATATTATTCCAAGGTATCTCATGAGTAGCAACGACCAGGTTATTAACGTAATGACTGTTTGATACATAATATCTAATCTGGAAGAATCTGCTTTTGTTAAAAAATAATTTCCCATGACATTAATTTCAGATTTTGTTGACTGAAGATGAATGTTTAGAAAGCCATGTGGTTTAGAAAATTGAACAACTGGCAAAAGGAAAGAGGAGAGATTATAACTCTGAATATCCTTAACTTTTGTTGCCAAGTAGCTTCCTTAACTTTTCAAATCCAAGGAATACGTACAAGTGTTATTAAATCATGTGGTTCAAAAGAACCAATAGTGAACCATAACACCCTTGTCCTTTTTAAAATTTCTAATTCCATAGTCATTATTTTTATCATTTCTGTTCTTAGTTTTTCTGTCAGAATTAGAATTTAGAATTAGATTTAGAATTACTTTCATAAATCTAAATCAGAGGTTGGCAAATGGTGATCCATAGGGTAAATTTAGTCCGCTGAACTTTATTTTAAGGCCTGTGAGCCAGAATTTTTTTTTTACGTTTTAAAAGATTGTTAGAAATCAAAACAACAAATTGGTTAATATGACTGTGTGACAGACACTATGATCTGCAGAGAGTCTAAGATATTTACTATCTGATCCTTTACAGAAAAAAGTTTAAACCTCTGGTTTATATGGCACATGTGTGAGCATGTGTGTGTATGTGCACACACACCCACAGATATAAGCATTCACACACATAAATATACATGCCTGTTAATTAATAATCTAAATGTTGAATTTTTCACCAAATAAGAAAGACCAGCTTATGCTACTATCAATCTACCTTACATTGCTAGTTCTTATATTAGTATTAACTTTTGCTTTGGTTACATTTGTAGCTTTAAATACTGTACTATTTCTTTTAGGATTTTATTTAATTTTAGACAGAGGGGAAGGGAGGGAGAAAGAGAAGGAGAGAAACATCAATGTGTGGTTGCTTTTCCCACGCCCACAAATGGGGGACCTGACCCATAACCCTGACTGGGAATTGAACCAGCGACGCTTTGGTTCACAGGCCAGTACTCAATCCACTGAGCCACACCAGCCAGGGCAAAATACTGTATTATTCTTAAGTCTGTGTTTTCTGTTTCAGTACCTTTGGGTGGGCATAATGATAGATCCAAAGATGGTGATTAGTAGGAATTATCTTGATTTTTATCCAGAAATAGTCATGTTTTTGAAATTTTTATCACTGAGCCCAGGTACTTTACACCCAGAAGCCAGCACAATGCCTGATACTCAGTAACGCTCTAGTATTTCCTGAGTGTGTGTTTGTATGTGTAGGACAGTTCATCTCAGGGTTCCTACTGTTGTGTTTGCAGAGGTTCATTTTGCTTTTTATAGTTGTTGCCATAGTTGTAGAATTTTTTGTCATAAATCCAACTAAGTGAATCAGAATTTAAGTAAACCTATTTGCCATTACTTGCTGAAATACCTTCTATACTGTTTTTAAACTGCGATAGATATTTGTGTGACACACGTTCCTTTGTGTGGAGTTAAGGTTGTTGCATAAAAAATGACTCAGGCATGGCTGGTGTAGCTCAGTGGATTGAGTGCAGGCCTGCGAAGTTGACGATTGCAGTTTGATTCCCAGTCAGGGCACATGCCTGGGTTGCAGGCCAGTTCCCAGCAGGGGCCAGTTCCCAGCAGGGGATGCACCAAAAAAGCAACCATACATTGATGTTCCTCTCCTTCTCTCCTTTCCTTCCCCTCTAAAAATAAATGAATAAAATCTTTAAAAAAAAAAATGACTCAGGCATTGCTCTCACTCAGACACCCAACAAAGACTTGAAGTGTGTGTTAATCAGCCGCACACTGTACTAGACGTATTGCAGTCACACAGTGGTGAGCTAGGCAGTCATGGTCACCGCCCTCAGGGAATGTAGTGGGAAAGACAGGCAAATTAACAGTCATATAGGTAAGCACATATAAATGCAAATTGGTAAAGAATTTAAAGGACAAGAACAAGTTATTTGAGAGAAGCAGAGAATATAGTTTTAAAACATGAGACCTTTTCATATGTATACAGATAACGTTTAGCATCCTAAAATACTTCCATTCCTCTAGGACAGTAGTTCTCAAAATTTGCGTGCATCAAACTCACGTGGAGTGTTTGTTAAAACGGTGTGTTTGGGTTTCCAAGTTCAAAATTTCTTATTTACTAGGTGTGGATGGACATGAGGATTTGAGTTTCTGATAGTTCTAGGTGTTTGTGATTCTGCTGATCCTGGAAACCACACTTCAAGAACCACTGATCCAGGAAGCTGGAATCACTTATAGAACTTGAACAAAATATTAATGTTTAGTTTCTGTTTTTGGAAATTCTGACTTAATTGTGCGGTGGTATGGCCTAAATATGAAGCTTTTAAAAATGCCCCATGTAGTTCTGCTTTACAACCAGGGTTGTAAGCTACTCAGTTGGGAATTGAGTACACTTACACATAACCATTTCTTAGTGGGGCTGAAAGTACGTAATCCTGTATGGTGATAGGAATGCATGGAAAAGGGGGGGAGAAGGTTGGACTAGAGGCTTCAGTAAAAATATGATACCTGAACTCTAAGGCTTAAAGGAGGATCAGTCAACACTGAACTTGACAGAGAGGGATGAGGGGATGTCAGACAGAAGAAATGCTGAGTGGGAGTAGGCTTTGTTTCCTAAATAACCCAGGCTGAATTTCTGAAATGTAAATATTCTCGTATTGGGAGTCTCCTGTGTCAGAAAAAGAGGACATAATTTATTCTTAATTTACAAATAGATATAAGGATCATCTGTACCAGACTCAAATAATTTTTATTCATTCATGTGTGTATTTAATAGGATGCGAAGAAGAAACCGAAAGACTCGGCGATACGGAGTCCTGGACACGAACATAGAAAACATGGAACTGACCCCTTTAGAACAAGACGATGAGGACGATGACACCACGCTGTTCGATGCCAATCATCCTCGAAGGTGAGTGCTGAGCAGGTCAGTTTCCTGAGTCAGGAGGTAAGTCCTTGACCAGTGCATTGAAAAAATAGAGTTTTATTTAATGTTTAGTTTTTATCCTAAAAACTTTCACTCAGTTCTTTTAATGAAGTTCTTTGCAGTCCCCAACCAGTAGTTCACATTCACATTCTTTTACTAAAATAAACATGAACAATAGAACACCATCCTCCAAAGAAATCTGTATTGTACATCTTGCACAGATTTGCTCTTTCAACTGCTGTATCTTGGTAATGTTTATTAACTGTGTGAGTGTGTCCAAGGGGGATAGTAGAGTTGGTTTTATCATTGCATTCTGAAGATGTTTCAGTGTTAGTCTGGGTTAACTCTGCGCTTTTTCCTGGCAAAACTGTGGGACTGATGGTATACGGCCTGGTAGTGTAGCTATGTCTTTTCTCCGATGTAGCCTTACTGAGTGTTAAGATCTTTCCTAAGAAGTTTGGATAAGGGAAATTATATGAATATGGAATTTCTTTCAATACAGACGAATGAAGGAAGGAGGCAATAAAGATTCATTTTAATAGGGAAGGATATTTGGATAGAGAGGTAATTATTCTGATAAAGGAGTTATAATGAGGCACAAATGCAGAGTACAGAAATCCGGGATTTCAGAAAAAGGACTCAACAATAATGTGTCTATTAAAGGATATCTATATGACGTTTTGGTTGCTGGTAGTTCATTTAATAAAAATGCATATTTGAAATGTCAGTTGTACAGTTAGAAGAGTGTCAGAGACTGGATGTGTAAACATTAACAAAGCAGCTACATCTGTCCATTAAACACTCCCTCTCTTAGTGAAAACTAACCTGAATAAAATGCATTACATAAAAATTTAGAATATCTGAATGTACATTCTGAAAAGCCCTTAAACTGCCTGTGAAGTATTATACGATTCCTGTTAAGTCAGATATTGCCAGTGGCTCTCTGCTTCTTCAGTGCGAACCAGAGAAAGTAGCTGGCATGCATTTAAGAACCATTGTGTGTAACAAAGACTCATCTCGATACATTAGAAATCGCGGTAAGAATCATATAAAATACAGCTGGGAGCAGCCTGACAGGAGGAGTGGCACGTCATTTCTGTGATTTCGGGCTCACCCTAGAGAAGGCTCCCATTGAATAAGATGGTGGTGGAGTCTCACATATAATTATTGATTTCTTTTCATTTTTACAGTATTTAAAAAGTATAGTATTTGCAGTCTTCTTAAAAACTAAGTGTATGTGGTTGCCTCTCCTGTACATACACAGAAAGGGAAGAACAAAAAGGAAGTTATTAACTTAGGAAGTCAGGGTAGTTTCCAAAGAGGAACTGAATTTGAACCCCGATTAATGTATTTCAAGTAGGCTTGCCTAAAGACCAAGTTGGTTGTAGGTAGACGCCACTACCTAAAGTTTAGTAGTTGTGGAGGATGGTAGTTCAGGAAGTGCAGCAGAAAATGTCCAGAATATAGCCTGTCGTGTGTGCATGTGTATTTCTACAGGCAGGGTTGGGAGGACCGGTGTCTGTGAAGGACACAGACGCACAAGTCCTTTTGAGGGAAATACGTGGTTTTGTGATCCACCAAGGAACTTGGTGTTACGTTGCTGTCATTGGAGAACTATTGATGCTGTTTGGAGTGTACCTAATCAGATGATCAGGTTTGTGTTGTAGAATAACACATCTTTTTTTTTTAAGTTCTCCCCTGAGGATATATTTTTAATTGATTTTTTAGAGAGAGAAGAAGGAACCAGGGTTGTGGGGAGGGAAACATCCATGCAAGAGGGAAACATTAATCAGTAGCCTCCCACACATGCACCAACCTAGGGATGTACCCCAATTGGTAATGGAATCCACCACCTTCTGTTTGTTATGCAGGAAGATGCTCCAACCAACTGAGCCACCTGACCAGGTCGGAATAATACTTCTTGCAGTAGGGAGGAAGGGGGCCTAGGAGAGATGAAGAGAGGAGAGGCATAAAGAAGGGGTCCGTTGTATTAAGATACAATTACCCATAGCTATCTTTTAGTCTGCATCCTGGCTCATCACTGACCTTCCTCTAATATTTACCCCACTCTTATACCCCACTGTTCATGAATCTTGCATTCTATTAGGGAGCTACACATTAATCAGAGTTACATAAATGGAGAAGGAGTAAGTATAGGGTGGTATAAGAACTTATATCAGGGACATAGAATACTTAACCAAAAGCTAATAGTCCAGAAAGTCCTCTTGGAAGTGATATATAAATTGAGACCTGAAAAAATTAGTAGGAATTAGCAAAATGAAAAGTGGATACTTGGGTGGGAATTGGAAAAAGAACGGGAGGTACAAAGTACCAGAAGCAAAAGAGAGTGTGGAATATTTAAGGGACTAAAAAAAGTTAAATAAATGCTATATTACCATATGTGACAATGAATAAATGAATGAATGATTTTTGAGCTTCGAATACAAAAGAAAGTGATAGGTAATGCAGAACAAAGAATCAAAAGGCAGATCATGATCCATATTAATCAGTTAGAAATTACAAGTTATGAAAGCCACTTGGAAAATTTTAAAACAAGCACAATCAAAGGTGTATAAAAAAAGCTTATTCTGTAGTCATTGCAGAAGAGTTAAGATAAGAAATCAAGTGATGAAGAAAACTGGTTAGATGGTGCAAGTCCATGGGGTGCCCAGTACTAGAGTGAGAGCAGGAGAGGGAGAGGGGGGGTAAATTATTTAAGAGGCTTTGACAGTATTATCAGCAAGATTTAGGTGTTGTGTTTTGAGGGTAAAGGAGGGAGGAATGGTAATAATAATAGAGAAGCAAATTTCAGGGGTAATGATAGTGATCAATGATAATTACCATAAAGTCCTGACTCAATCATCTTGAGTTTTTTAGTAGTATGACTATATTTACTTGAAAAAATCTTAGGAAAAAAACCTTCAATGTACAAATGTCTAGATAAAGTAAAAAGAGCAAATTATTACTGCTTTTCTATTCACTCACTCACTCCATTCATTTATTCATTTATCCAATAAATGAAAGATGTAGCAGCTATTTATATTACAACTATCCAGTGCCAGGTACTGGTCTAAATGTTTGTGACACATTAGAGCAACAAAACAGAAAAAGAAAGAAAGAAATCCTGACTTTGTGGCACTTAGCTGAGGGAAAGGTGAGGTGTGGAGGTTAACAGTTCCTTTTTATTTTCAGTTTTCTTTCTGTATTCTTCTATGTTGTTTGGCTTTTGTTTTTTCAAAGAGCATATATTTGTGCTCTTTAAAAAAACCTTTTGTTTGGGAATAATTTAAAGTCTTCAGAAAAGTTAAAAGAATAAAAGTAGTATAAAGAATACCCCATGATTTTTATGTAGATTCACCTATTAATATTTTATGTAATTGTCTTATATATTCTCTCTCATAATATAGATACAAAAGAATGGATCTCCCTCATTTTATGTTTATCTGGTGTTCTGACGTTTCATCGTAATTAGATTCAGGTCATGCATTCTTAGCCGAAATACTCTACAGATCGCCCTTCCTCCTTCTCAAGATACCATATCTGAAGACACATGATGTTCATTTGTCCTTCATTAGCAGTGGTGATTTTGATGCACCTGTTCTAGGTTTTATCCAGTTTCTCTAGTATGTTACTGCTTTTTTCCCCTTTGCAACTAATAAGGAGATACACTAAATCATGACAATATTCTGCTTCTCATTAGAATTCCCCCCAGGTTTAGCACACATTCATCATTTTTGCCTGTTCTGATCTTCACTATTATAGTTGCAAAGTAATGACTTTCCTACTTCAATATTTGTTCCATATTCACCAATGATCCTCACCCTCTGTAACTTAGATTATTTTCTGTGTGGGGATATACAACCCAAATTCCTTACTTCATTTGAAGCTGATTCAGTGAGTAGCTCTCTCTGATCTGATGTTGACAGTAAAGATTACACATATATTATGACATCAGTTTATTTAACTGTTCAAATTTATCTTATGGGAAAGATGCATATATATCTTAATTGTGACTCACTTCAGTAACACATGATAATCATGTATAATGCTATTTGTTTCTCCCAATAAAGGTAAAAAATCAATACTTACATGGAGACTAGACTAAAGGTTTTGGAGGGTCCTGAAAGAGGACTTTCACCACCAGGGCTTCCCAGAACAGCCATATAAATGGTAGGAGGAACCATGGCATGGATGGTGGTGGTCAAATGCCTTTAGAGGGATAAAGTCAGGGGACCTGTTACTGAGACCAGGGAGAAGCCTGGACAGAGCCCGGTAACAGAACTACCATAGCATGATTTAATAGTCACTTGTTAGTAAATAACTACTTCAGCTCAGGATGTACCAGACATTGTACTAGGTTCCCTACACACACTATGTAAAATCAAGACAGACTTGTGAAGTATTTCCTGTTAAAGACAGGATTTCATTTTAAAGACAGGAAAACTGAGGCTCAGCTAGATTAAATGAGTTAGACTTCTCTTCCTGCACAATCTCATTCCATTTATTAAATACTTATTTAATTTGTATCTATGAAGGAAATAATAAATTCTCTTCATTTTGTTATCTATACCAGTACCCGCTATTACTCATTTTTAAATGAAGACCCTAAAAAGGAGGATTATAAATATTTTGTTTTGCCTACCATGCCAGTTGCAATACAGAATCATATTAGTCCACATTATAACTGCTGGTAATTCTTGTTGCATCATCTCTTATGGATGCTGCCTTCATTGTTTAAGTGCTTTCTAAAATTAGTTCCTCCTCTTTTTCTAAATTCTATCCACAAAATAACAGGAAGCAAGTCATTTCCAGAGACGTAAATGGATTTCCTTGCTTACAATTTTATCACAGTATAAATTTATCCTTTTGTAGTTAGCTCTTTCTGAGAGGGATGTTTTTAACGTGCCTTTTAGTATATCAAAATTCTAATAATGATTGTAATTTGTCATTGGGATTGGAGGGAATTTTTTCACTGTTCCTTTGTATTACGTTGGATAACA